AACGAATATTTGAGAAGTTTGTTTCTTTTTTTACAAGCAATTACGATTGTCGCGCGAATGTCGATTGTTTCGTAAAAATAGACAATAAATTTTAAAATATTGCCTACTTAAAATAAAATAAATAATCTTTTTCATACAAGCGAATTTTAAAAATCTACTTGGATAGGAGTTTTATATCGTTTTTATTATACTTTACACATCTTCTCTCTTCCCGTACTTTGAAATTCTAATGATTATACATATATAAAAGATCGTACACTTTTATTATTCTGTATTACATTATTTTCATGATCATGTTACATGTACTAAGCAACTCTGAATTTAATGTTTTCAATCTTCCGCCTTGAATCATTGCGATTGTGCATTGCACGACGCGACGGAGAAAAGAGAAGAAAAAGACTGGCCGGAGGAGTAAAAGCGTTTTACGATTACATCGCGTATCTTTTTCTCCGTGTTCGGGCAAGGATGAACCCGCGAAGTTACGGGATTGAAAATAGAGACTGACGCGTGCATTATTCACGTCGTGAACTTTTCAGCGTCGACCGTGATATGTACATAGCTGTGGCAGTTCACCTTCTTCTCAGTCGCGACCCTTCCAACTCCAACGATTCTAGTTGTAGTTCATTATTTCGACGACAGTGATCATTATTCAGAAGTTAATAATAATCGATCTTTTTTTATTATGTGTTTATTTGATGTTGGGTAAACACATTGAGGTAATTAATATTATAATTTTGATTGATGTAAACACAAAAAATATACATACTGTACGCAAATAATTATTTGCTATTGTTTCTATATAATATTTCGAAAATTTATATACCTACAAATTTTTATTCAAAATGTATTCTAATAAGTTTAATACTTCAATCAAGATTATTAAATTAAAATAAATTCGATTTTCTTATTATAAGTATAAAGTCGTTTCTTCGAAGTTTATGATTTTGTCAATTTCTACGGTATTTTAGTATTTTACATAATCAAGAAGCATGACTGAAGTATTTCTCAGATTTCTCTCTCTGTTTCTGAAGTCAACGAGATGTTAATAGCAGTTACATGTAAAACATAACAGATGTGATTCTAATTAAACTAGCGAGATCAGAGAGCGCAATCTTACTGGCAACGAACAGTCTGTATCTTTGTTTGAATCAATTAATCGGGATATTAGTTTCTCTAGCGCGAGATATATTTTTGGGTAGATTGTATATTTTTTTTTTTCGTAGATTCGCGGCTACGAAAAGAAGAAGCGCATCGAATGGAAATTGTAATTCCCGTGAAATGTTATTCCGAGGAAGACAGTAACGAGGCCTTCGTAAAAATCATTTCCGTGGATTACAATTCTTAATTTAAACACGCCCGTTGTATGGTTATCCAAGGAAAAACGAATGAGATGATCGGCGGCAAAATCCTTCACATTATGTTGCATAAAATTAGACTCATGTTCGCAAAATAGTACGTGGTATGAATTGTAATATTTAAATATCATAACTTGATATCGATGAAAAATCGTTTATAATACGTCGCGTTTTCTTTATTTACATTATTTATAATGTTGCAATTTGTCAAAGAGACTTTTTACAATTATATATTGCCAGAGTAGAACCTATTTATATATATCGACTATTATAAATAAGATTTTTTTCATTATTTCTTTATTGAATAAATACGATAAAACCTACAATTTAATTTCCTTTATCATATTCTACAAGATTTTCATAAAATATAATAGATCATAGATTAACGTCAGACATAAGAATTCGTAGAACATATTAGTTGGACTTTTTGATTAATTTGTTCACATATTTTTCCTTTTATTATCAACATCAGCGCTATCCGATTGAAATATGACTCGATTATCTTCCTGTTTATCATTTATCTTAAAATTAGCTTTTTATATTTAAAATTCTAAAGTAATTTCATATAATTTTACTTTTTGAAATCGATTCCAATACGCGCATCATAATAGGTATTAGTTAATAGTTTTAAGAAGAATTCCGAAATATCTCGGATATTTAAATTTTAAATCTTCTCTGCGTCTCTTCATAAAAAAAGATTCCTTTTGTACGTTTACGGTTCCACGAAAAAATCGCGGAACGAATCGCTCTTTTTTCCAGTTTGTGGTCTTTTTCGTAAAGATCAACTCAGCCACGTTCGCGGAACTTGTTACGTTTGAATTTACTATTGGAATCTTCGCGACTTCGAAGAAGCATGAGCGGGTTTAGCAAAAAACGCAAACTCATAATTTCTGGAAAATAAAACAAAAATAAGAGAAGTAAAGCGAAATCGTCAAGTGCGACTTCAACTGATACACGATGTTTTTTTTTTGTGCGAAAATATGTACATATTCATTTAATTCAAAATCGTATGAATGATACTTTTAATTATACTTTAATATCTTCTTTTAATATTAATATCTTATTTCTGATGTACAATATTTATATTGACTTTTAAGTTTTATAAAAATTACTTTTATTTATTTTTTTTCCCTAATTGTATAATTATATAATTTATTACACACTATTGTCTAATACCTATTATAATTGCTGAATGTATTAAAATTGCTGAGTTTTTATTAAATGAAATTCCTCAGAACAGAAGGAAATATAATCACGATGTATAATTTGCTAGCGCACAAACTTTCTTCGTCTATTCCGCTAACAGTGTATGATTTATCAGACACGTGAGTATTAAATTAATTTGCTGAGAGACCGTTTAGCATGGTAATTGCTTCTTGTTTAACAATAATATTGGCATGTTTTTATAGGCCGACAAAGAATATAGACACACATATAGGACTACATTTAGTCACGTATCAATGCGAGCCTGTAATAATGAATTATCGTTCGCTAAGCAGTAATAACTGCTTGTTCGATGCGGTAATTATCGAGTACGAACGGCAGCGGTAATCGTTCATTTAGCAATCGTTTGTTGTAGGCTAATGTAATGCAACATTAAGTGCGCCGTCGTCGATCTTTATCGCGGGCGGCGTTCACGATCTCTCTTCACGACGGAATATGGGCGTTCCTCGCGCCACGGCCGATAAAACACGTGTTTCAAATTTTCCGCGGTACAGCGACGGTGGCGTGGCGTTTACACGTTTGCTATAATTATCAATATTGTTATGCCCGTATCACACTAGCGATTGCGTCCGCGTTTGCGTTTGCAGACTTGCAGTTGGACGTTTTTTTTTTTTCAATCACACTAGTGACGATCAGCGATTACATTTTGTCAGGCATTTCCTGCAACGCATATGAAAAAAATACAAAATTATCAAAGAAGGAATTCACATTTTTCCAAGAGATATTGTTTTCAATTTTCGCTTCGATACATGAACTGGTTACATGACTACAAAGTCGCTTTGCGTCTCGATTATGAAAAGTAGACAGATGTCTAAAAGGGAATCGTGAATCGTAATCGTCAGCATCTCTTTTCTGATTGGTCGAAATGCAGACGCAATCTCCAATCGCTAGTGTGATACAGGCATTACACGATCACCGATCGCGATCGAGGATCATACACTTACGTAGGAATAATGCGCACTTACAGGATAATTGATGAACAATCATCGCTGAGAAAACGAATGCTCCGTATCGGTTATTCGTTATAATCTTTGATTTATTGCGATCGCGGTCATGTTTATGTTCTTTTTTTCTTCATAAAGTCACAAGCTGATAGCACGGTGGAAACTTAAGCTTCAAACACACGATTTGTAAGGCAAGAGAAGTGCCGCGGCGTTAGTTTCAGGAATATTTATCAAATTCCGAAGTTCATTCTATCTCTGGATGATTGAAAGTCATTAAGAGGCGGCTTTTCGAAGACCCCTTTCTATGCCATGCGCGTAATAATTTATGCACATAGAAACGCGTAGGTCCGAATCGTTTCTTTGTGAATCAATATTGAAATTTCAATATTTGAACTGTTTGAGTGCTCAAGACTGCTCATACCGTTCATCAATGTCACTTTTTGTAAACTGCACGGTTCTTATTCACCGTCACGTGTAATAAGAGTTTGATTTAGAATCGCGTGTTATTTTACAGTAATATCATTAAACGGTCAATCAATTGGTATCAACATAGTTTACAAGCGTTTTTGAATTTAAAAAATATTAAGTACTATACCAAGCTGTCATGAATTCAAATGAGTCTTTCTCGGTTATATTATTCACAGCAGTATGCATTATGTAATAGTATATGATATAATAAAATTCCTGCCGAAATATAAGACGTCACAAAAACAGGAATTTAAGTTGATAAACATATGGTTCTCGGAAATTCAAATTTTTTAATGCTAATAGAAGCACAGAAACTATTTCTATGTTTATTCATTAAGTTCATATGATTCCTGGATCGCGGATGTTAAAAGCTACAGACTAAGTTTAGAAGGAATCGGAATATAAAAATTACAAACCGTGTAATATAAATTAGATCGAAAGAGTAGAAGACAGATCGGTTAACTAGAATTAAACTAACGCCCGTTTCCAAAATAGATTAATTGTAATCTTGGTTTTTTATCTTTTTCCAATTTAAAAAATTAGATTACTAATTTTTCCTTAGCAATTTCGAGTTAGATATTTTACATATTTTAATTTAGAAAATGGTAAATAATAAATTAAATCGAGATTAAAGTTAATCTAAATAGAAATGAACATTATTAATATTCTATCGATATATCGATTAATTTTAATTATAATTCAATATTACTCCTTATTTTTTTTAATTCTTAGAACTGTAGAAAAAGACGACGAGTTAGTTAAGCCCAAGATTGAAATACGTACTACATCGGTAGAAACGGGCATAAACAGGTGTTGGAGAAACCGAGCCTTATTAATCGGCGGATAAAACGGCGAGACGTGTTCATGTAAACGTGAGTGTTGCGCAAAAGAATTCTGTCAGGACGATGGTGGCGATGCAAAAGGTACAAAGTGACGGGAATATGTTCGTGGCTTACAATAATTCCGATCGCGCCTCCGCGAGGCGTATATTAATACCTAAGATTCTCACCTGCGCTCGCCGCGGAATCACGAATGGAATTGGAAGTCACTCGTTTGTGCGCAGCATTCAGCGAAAAACTCGCGATGTCGTTTTTGCAATCGCATAATCACACCGACCGCGGCCGCGGTTGCAAACGTGTTGGTCACTTGCCGATGCACGGAATTTTTCCTTGACTTCTCTCGACAGTCTGACTTCGCTCGCGCTGTAATCGTACAACAATGACGCTTAGACTTTCTCACGCTATTCGCGCTATTTCTCTATGGAGAAAACGATTGTTATCCTCGCTTCAAATGTATCGATCTCATTGATTAAATAGCCGAGATTTTTTTTTTTTTCAAAGATATGTAAATGTTATGTATTCAGTATTTTAATACTCAGTATTTTAATAATTCAGTGTCTGTTTATATTATTTCTATCTCTAAACGGAAAGGACGGTTTTGCTAAAGTCTATCTAAGAAATTTAGTCATTATATTATATACATCTGAAAATAATTTTATTGGACCATCAAAATAACTATGTAGGACTCAAAACTGGTTGTTGGAATGTCAAAATTTTTTGTGGCACTGCTCATCATGCTTGAGATTGTTGTTTATGTAATTATTTAGATGGTTCAACAAAATTATTTTTAGATCTGTATATAGTTATATTTTTAGATACTTCAGCAAAATCGTTCTTTCCCGTATGTGTAATAAGAGCAATGAAAATTCCATAATGCTCTCAATAAATTAGAGAAAAGCTATTTGAGTTATGCATGCTAATAAGAAGCATATTTTTCTCACCAGTCAATATCTCATTTGCAAAAATTCCTGGAGACATGATTCGTGGGCGATTCGTGGCGTTGATGAGGAGACACTGAATAGTAGAGGTAAAACTCATCGTAAATTATGACCGTACACGTTACACACGGCAGAAAAATGTTAAAAATGCGAGCGGCGAAGGTGGAATTTGTGTAGGAATAGTAATTTACGAAATGTAGCCTCTAATCTTTCGGGGAATCATATACTTACGTACGACTCCAATTTATATTCGTACAAATGACTTACTTTATTCACAACTTATCGTTACGTCGTAAATTTTTAGACACCACTGATAAGGTAGCGACTAATTTTAGATGATGACTATCGCTTGCCGAGCGGTTGATGCAATTTAAATCCATCTCATTCGACTACTATGAATATTTGTGAAAGAATTTGGACGAAAAACTTGAGAACTTTAAAGTTGATATTTCTTCTGAAAGAATTCCGGCAAGATATATATATAAAACTCCACATTACGTAAATAAAAAAAAATTACTCCAGATCTTTGTTTCTCAATTGCAGCCTTAAAGTATGTAAAAAAAAATTTATTTTCTATCTCTTTCAACATAAAGATGATAAAAATCTTGATATCTGTCTTGAAATTAATCATAAAAAATCTATCATAACAATTATCGTTGAAGATTTATTGTTTCAAACAGTCATTCTTATCATCATCATCACATCACAGATCATTCGATCCTGTTTAAAAAATAGATAATTGATGACGCTTGGATCTAAGCCTCCATTGGATCTGTCCTCGTGGATGATTCGAGATTCAAATATTTAGGCCGCCACTGTAGACACACAGAACATTACACGTGCAATCCGTTATCGCGGCCTTCCACGCTCGACCAAATAATATCTTATGCATCCTTCGCCCTTAATGGACGAGCCGAGTCTCGCTTATCTCTGATTTAAAGCGGAGGATAATACTTTCGATCGTTTCGCCGTCGTATAAGAATGCATCTGGCGGTCGGTGAGTCAGGGGTTCGGTACACGAATAAGAATTCGACCTTACGTCCGCGTTTGCCTTCCTTCGTTCCCTTCCTTTCTTCCCTTCTTTTTCTCTCTCTCTCTCTCTCTGTCTTACTCCGCCGTCTGGGTATATAATAAAACGATTGGGGAAAGCAAATGAATATTAAGACGATTACTTTAATGGATTTTGATTGAAACGATTTTATCGGAGCAATGAAAGTAAATATCTGCGCTCGCGCGCGGCCTGCTCGCCGAATTACGACTTCCAACGATTGCATCTTTAAGTTGCACCTTCGGTCATTTATTTAAATTAAATTCACGCTCGCGACGGCAATTACGAAGGAAGATATTTCGCTGGTCGAAAAATTCATGAGAAATAATCGGAGTGATGTTTATTACTGCATTTTATTAATTACAATATATCTTTATCTTAAGATAAATCTTTATCTTTTAATTATTTATCAATTATTCTATCAATTGTTGAGTTGACGAAGGTTGTTGGATTCTTTAAAAAGTCCGACGTATCTTCTTCAGCTCGTCTTCTTTCAATTGTCAATTAACGGCATAATTTCAAGAAGCACTCGCAAAAGAATTTTAATTAAACGTTACGCGAGATGGTAAGAAGTATTTACACTCTATAGATATGTTAAAATATTAAAATTAAAGATAAAACGCCTCTAAATTTTCTACAAGCGCAACACGACTGTGAGGAAGTTCAATTTACTTTTAGACGTCATTAATTCTTGCGAAATTCAATCTCCCAACGCGTAATCCACTTCGTCGCAAGAAGGCGGGACTTAATTTTCGAAGCGGTACTCGATTATTATCCGTTGCCCATTCAACGCGGGCAACATGAGACTATGGACAAGGACGGAGATGAGATGACGCGCGCGTTATACAGATTTAATCAAGCCGAGAAAGTTCGACTATAAGAATTCGTTTATGAAATCGAAAAGTGGTATTAACGTGGTATAACGTACGTCGCGTCGGCCCTCCGATCCGTGACGATAATTGACGTTGGATATGCTTGAAATGTCTAACATGGAATAATAATGAAAAAATAATAATGTCTATTATATTGTAAATTACAAAATTCACGTTGAAATTAATATTAAGAAACAATAGATAATAACTACTATATTGAAAGTATAAACGTAACTTGGATTGAAAATTTCAACAAAATTATTTTATGTTGTATCCGACTATTAATCATTATCAAAATTGTTCTTATTCTTTTGTACTTCCTGGAAAAAAAAAAAGAAAAGTCAGATATTTGATCTTCCTTCATCGGAGATTTTTTTTAACCGAAGGAAAATCAATGTACGCGTAAAGGATTTATATTTTTTAGCGAAATTATCTTGAAAATCGACACTAAAATCCGAAAAATTGAAAATAATACGTTAGTTATTAGTAAAATTAATCATTTTCTGAACCCAGTTACAGAGTAGTTTCGTCTTGTTGACAATCAGTATATCATTGACAGTTACAGTCGTCGAAAGTGATGACAATAGGGATCAAGTTGAAAGCTGTACATTGCACAGATGCGAAATAAAAGATTCAGATAAGCTGTACAAATTTCACCGCCCAACAATAGCTTGACGACGTAGGTCGCCTTGCCTTAAGATGTAGGACTTGTTACTGCTTAATTGAAGTTTAGATTAAAATGCAAATGTCCAATATATATGCGAACTAACATGACGGTGCAACCCTTGACCGGTTGGAATATCAACGATAGATATATGGAGACATATATACATCTCGAATTACCTGCTAATCGCCTGCGTCAATTTGAAAGACATTACTTGTTACTTCAATTGAAAATTCTCTCTTCCTCCATTGTCATATAATTATAATAAAATAACTTTTTAAAAAAACGTTAGTTTAACTTGGAAAATGAAAGTCAAATTCCAAATAAATACTAAAAATAATGTTCTCAACTCTATAAAAACATTCCGAATTTTCTCTTTACATAGAAATATATTTTTTAATTCTCAAAAATATCTAGTTTAATCAGGTATGCCGGTTTACGACTTTTATATTATTTTATTCAGTCTTCTTATATTTTTTTCTGTAATCTATATCTCATGAATTAGTAATTAAAAAGTCAGTTATGTTTATGCGTATAAATATATGTTGAAATATTAATCAGCAATGGCTACGTTCAGCAGAAAAAGCAGTTTTATAATTATTGTAAAATTCTTTAATATGATTGGTTTATACATTTAAATCCAGTGAGGGCAAAACAAATTATATTAAAGAATTTTACAATACAACAATTGCAAAGCTGAATGAAATTAATATTAATTTATTAGCTATCATTATGATTTGCATAATTTCGCAAAAGGACAGTTAATTACAGGAAAGACATGAAATGATGTAATGAAGAATTAACAATAATAATCTACTTCCTTTTTATATAAATATCAGAATTAATAAACATCAAGCTCATAATTTCTTCTGCTTTTTGCGATTATTTGATCCTTGAATATATCCGATGTTTATGTGTGTGAGTGTGTCTGTTAACAAAGTCATTGACGCATATGATTTGCGATATTAGCAAATCGAGCAAAATGAGTAGAAACGTAACACGGTTTTAGATAATAAGATATCAAATTATCACGATCTACCTAATTGTTATAATTTTTAAAACAACTATAGAAGAATTTAAGATAATTATTAATTTTATTTTATAACTTTATAATTTATTAAGCTCACATAGTAACCACATAGTTTCACATTTCGCGTGAAAACTATGTAAAATATATTTATATTAATATTATAGTTTCATTTTCTCTTTCTATATTCCGTCAACGTTTTGGCAGCAATCTTGCCTGAATGAAGGATATCGGAATACAAGATAGAAATTTAAGACAATAACAGCAACAAATGTGATTTCATCAATTTTTTTATATCGTCGTTCGCTAATGTCGTTCGATTTCAAATATCAATGAATGCACAAAATAAAATTTCATTTTCTAAATTAAAAGTGCACTTGACCTCTCCGGTTCTTCGAAATAAAAGCAAATGACTTGACTTTTGTCAAGTCAATTATTGTGCCGTCTATCTCGTCATTTTTTCTTCGTTTGCCGAAAAATCCGGTGAAAATCGTCGTAAGTCTTTTCTTCGTTGCACAAAAGCGCGCGTTCGTGTACACTCGGGAAGAGACGCGCGCGTGCGATTAAGTCGGAGAGAGAAACCGTGTGTAAATCGAAAGGCGCAGAGAAGCGAGAGAGAGAGAGAGAGAGAGAGAGAGAGAGAGAGAGATAAAGAAAGAAAGAGAGAAATAGGGAGACAGAGGAAGAGGCAAGAGCGAGAGAGGAAAGGCTTCGACCTCGCATGCTCGCTCGCGCGGCTTTACCGGAGTAAAGTGCTCCTCCTCGGCCGCTCGATTCCTCTGAGGCCTCCGAGGAAGAAGCCGCTCTCGCGAGATCGTCCTCGGGAGATCGCGATCTCTTTCCTCCTCGATCGTACCTTTGAGCCCGTGTTCTTCAGTCATTAAATCCGGTATAATCACGGTAAAGATTCTCATCTCTATCGTTATGCGAGAGAATCAACTTACGTTACTTATCTTA